TCTTAGTAATTATTCATTATTTTTTTAATATTTTATTTATCAACAGTCGAAAAATTTTGAATTGTAAGGTATAAATTTTTTACATTATTTTAAAGGGTGCAATTTTGATTGGCAAAATGCAAATTGTGAGCTAAATCGGACTAATAGTTCCTGAGAAAACGAATTTTAAAAATACGACTTTTCAAAATTCGACTTTTTAGAAACTATTCGACTAATTTTATTCAAATTTCGCATTTTGCCATGTAAAATTACATACTTCAAAATTACGCAAAAAATTTATTCCTTACAATTCTAAATTTTTTCGATTCTAAATAAAATAATAAAAAATAATGAATATTTACTAAAAGTTATATTTTGCATGGATTTATCTTTGGATGAAGAATTTTATAACTGTACGTTAAAGTTTTTTCAATTCGGTTAAAAAGTTCTCGAGTAATTACGAAATACGCAAAAAATAAAATTAACATCAAGGGGTCGAAATACGGACCGCTCACCTGACCAAACTATTGTGACCATATTTCCCAGATTGAGGTTACCCCCTACAATTTGGGAATCAGAAATCCACCAAAAAAAATTATATGTTAAAGGGTTATGTTAGTGTTTTATGCCTAAAAAGTTGAAATTTGAATTTTTACCTATTTAGGGGTGAGGGGGATTGATATCTGAAGTTATAAACTTTAGTCTTACCAAAAAATGTTTTTAAGAAGCAGTCTACACGGGGCTAGTTTGGACAAGCTATGAGGACAAGCAGGTGGATGAACTTAAACTTATTAAGCAGTCGTTTAATACAACTTAGGAAGGTGTCAAAACCAAAACGCAATTAATTTCAATCTAAGTCTTATTGAAGAGTAAATATAAACATGTTTTCAGTAAAGTATTAATTTCAAATAGACCATTTCACCATACTATGAAAGACAGTTTGACATATTTTCATTAAAGTATTAACTTGTAATTCATCATTTCACTATACTGAGAAATGTATGGTAAAAAGTAAATATATTTAATAAAATTTGTCTTCATTAATTCATCTATATAAATTTACATGCTCTTAACAAATTTGATTAAATAATTCCTTTAAGTTTTCTTAAAAACTTTAAAAGCTGGATTAATGTAAAAATTCCGTGCTTAATTATTTGTTTCAAACCACTATTTGCAAATGTATATCATTCCACGAAATCATTCTAGTTTAGAAAATAAATGTCATCCAGTTTGTTACATTTGTAACAAATTCATATTTCCTCCAATGTCCTGTCTACCACTTTAACCTCACCACCAAGTATTTACAATAGCTCCACGAAGCCAATGTGTTTGCTTATGCCTGATTAATTGAAATTATACAGAGCAAAAGTTAACACCACACTAAGTAAAAAACCGTATAATTTATAACATATCATGATCTATTGTTGAAATTATGAAAATGAAATTTATTAATAAAAGAGAAAGTTTAAAAAATACTTTTTCCTTTTAAAAACCTTTTTTTACAAATTTCCACTTAAATATTCAACTGTGTGATTATACAACTGCACATGGAAGTGTACATTAATATTGCTAATCTACATAAGATATCTTAGAGAAAATTTGACCAATAAATTAAAAAAAATATTCAAGATGGTTCCACTAGGCCCCTCTCCCCTATGATGATATCTAGGCAAGTAGAGACATTGTTTTTTATGCAATTTTTCAACTGTTTTCCATGCATTTTACTGAATCAAATGAAACAAAAACAAAGTCAATGTCCTTAATAGCTTAAAAGATTTGGTACATCAAAAGAACTTATACTTATTTATACTTTTGTTTTGTATTTGTATTTTATTAATAATTTTGCAATTCTACAAATAAACGCCAATTAGGCGGCCAAAAAAAATTTTTTTTTTGGGGGGGGGCACACTATTTTTACATGAATTTTCTTCTTTTTTACACCCTAAAAAGGGAAGAAAAAATCATGAACATGAAATTTTTTCTTTGTGACATACTCTTTCTGACATACTCAGATAAATCGGAGCCATTTATTCAGATAAAACGATTTTTACTTATATAATATTATTATAATGTCTCTCTAAAATGTATTTATAGAGATTTCATACTATGAGATTATATTTTAGTATGAAAATTGGTGTTTATTTGTAGAATTGCTCATATAAGCAATTCTACAACGCAATTAGGCGGCCAAACAGAAATTAAATTTTTTTTGGGGGGGGGGGGCACGCTATTTCTACATGAACTTTCTTCTTTCTTACACCCTAAAAAAGCAAGAAGAAATATTGAACACGAAATTTTTTCTTTGTTACATACTGTAAATGACAAAATACAAATTTTAAATTTTTCAAAATATTTTTCAATTTACGAACTTCGATTAAATTTTTTTATTTTTGTTTTTTGTACTAAAATATAATCTTATAGCATGAAATCCCTATAAATACGTTTTAGGGAGACATTATAATAATATTGTATTTATGTAAAAATCGTTTTATCTGAATAAATGGCTCAGATTTATCTGAGTACGTCAGAAAGAGTACCTTACATTTAAAGTATGTCACAAAGAAAAAATTTCATGTTCACGATTTTTCTTGCCTTTTTAGGGTGTAAAAAGGAAGAAAATTGATGTAGAAATAGTGTGCCCCCTCAAAAAATGTTTTTTTTTTTTTGGCCGCCTAATTGGCGTTTATTTGTAGAATTGCTCATATNTTGACCGCTCTACTGACCAAACTATAGTGACCATATTTCCCAGATTGTGGTTACCCCCTATAATTTGGGAATCAGAAATTCATCGAAAAAAAATTTTTTTATTCAGAGAAAGTACGTTTTTGTGTCTGATTTCGTAACTCAAAATATCGTCTGCACTAATTAATTAACATATTTGAATCTTCCCCTCGAATCATTAAGATTGAATCCAAGAACGTGAAGTTATTCAAGGTGGTTCTTTCTTCTTTTTTTTTTGTGCACTGTATATAAAAGGCAAATGCTAAAGGCTTAGTGAGTTTTTCCAAATTTAGAACTATTTAGAAGCCGTTAAATATGTTAAATGATTTTTAAAGGAGAGGCAAGCTATGAAAAATGAAATTTATTATGAATATTTGTAACTGTTTATAATGAATATTTTTACGATTTTTTGTTCCATAACATGTTTTGGTAAAAATGGATTTTATGACAAAAAGTGAGGGACACTCGGAGTGCCGGTACATTTTACCGTAATGTTTTACAGTTTATTTGTTTCATCGACTTGCAATTGGTCTTATTAAATTCATTGAAATTTAAAAAAAAACTAAGCTCATGTATGTATTTTAATTGTTTTTTTTATTTTATTCCATATCTAAGACTACACTAAATGTCTTCAGTTTTAGCCAATTGACTACTTATGACACTAAATGCTTATCCCTTTCTTTTGTAATTAATTTAAAATCCAATATGAGAGCTACGAAAATCAAAATTTTCAATTTGGGAGCAAGTAATACTTCATAGAAATTTTTTTCTCTATTTTTCTTGAAATCGGCATTCGAAATACAATCAGAATCAAGCCATTTATTTCTATGCAATCTTTCGGGCAATTATGTGCAACTAACAGAATTTTCCTTTTTTTTGTGTCATATATAAATTTGTTGCATTATTTGTTTACTATTATTGTTATATTATTACTTATTTTTTCTTGCTCTACTCGGAAAGATACAATTTTCTTTCACAGTTAGGTTTTTATAAAAACAAACGAATTAAATGTACAAATAGATTAAGAGCCGGTTATCATCCTAAAATATAATTAGAATTTAAAATATTTATTATCTTTTTTCACTATTTTGATTTTGTGATTTGCTTAAAAAATGGTGTAATGAAAATAGCGCTATAAAAGATAAACAATGACGACCTACTTATACAAATTTATGCTTATTATAAGAAAATGTTATTTCATAATGTATTTCTTTCGAGATTCAATAATTCGTATGACAAAAAATATAATATAATGAGCAAGTTACGTTAAAAACTAAGCACAGTTAGAATAAATCGTGTCTGTTGAATGTAAAAATAAGAAGAATAAAGGTATAATAAGATATGCTATTTTACATCAAATATTTTTTGAAGCAGAGTTGTAGGTATGTTTATTTTTTATGAATATAATATTTAGATTCCCTCAAATTTCTTAACTCTTTAATTTTTATAAACATATTTATAAAACTTATGTACAACTTTATTTATATTTAACTATGGAAAAATAATATGGACGAAGTTATAGGAATATTTATTTTTACTATAGAAAATAAAGTTCATTCCATAGTTCCCATTGAAATTAAAATCTAATTTAATGGTTCTGCTGGTAGATTTTATGTAAGGGATAGTTATGTAAGGTTACCTAAGTTTAGTTAGAAAAGGTTAGTAGTAAGATTTATATAGTTAAAGATTTTAAGCGTAGATTTTATATAAATACTGGGGATATTTCAGTATCATGATCTGTCGCGCCAACTACAATCACCAAGGTGCCAAATAGGTTTTAAACTTACAATTTTTTTTTAAATGTAGATGTTTGTCCAGGGGGGGCTATGAGTTTGTTTTTTTTGTAATGTTTTCTTTTTAGTTTCTCACTGGCCACTGCTCAGAAGTTGCCAAGACTGGGCAATTATTCTGCCACAGATCACGATACATAAATAAGCAATTTATTTGCAAATCATTCACTTCAATATCATACTCACGGCTGTTTCATACATGATTCACTCTACAATAGAGCAAACCTTGAATGTTAAAATTACCCCAAAAGAACCAAAGCTGACATGCAATAACATTTTTTTACTTGTTCGTTTATTTTCAGCCAGAATTTTCTGACTGGAATTTCTTAATCAAGTATCTAGAAACATAAAAACAAGTGCAAATTTTAATATTAGTTATTTCGTTGTACTCTATGACTCAACATTTATGAATCAAAGTGTGATTCACTCATATAATTATACTGACAATAATTCATGTTAATTTCAACAATTATGTCCAAATATATACAAGTATTAAAGTGATTTACATACCATATCAGCATTCTTTTGTCTGCCATTGATGACTTCAGAGCATTTACCAAAATCAGCTTGGAAAACTCCGGATTTTCCTTCCTCCAGAATTTGGCATAAATGTCCAATATAGCTAATTGCTAAACGTAAAGTTTTGATTTTGCTAAGCTTGGTATCCACCGGCACATTTGGTATACATTTTCTGAGGTTCATAAAAGCAAGATTTATGCTCAAAGTCCTCCTGCGTTCTTTTTTATTCGCTGTCACACGACGTTTTTTAACAGGGGGTACAGATCCAGCTTCTAACCTGGTGGTCACCAATCCATTCTCTGGTGAGTTAACAGGTGGTGGTGAGTTAATCTCCGAACTGTCAGGTGTATAAGACTCATAAACGTAAAATGTTTCACCACCAGGACCACAAGTGTAGAATTCGGGATATAGTGTTGAGTCAGATGTAGTACACGGCCCTATCGCCGGCGAGTAAGGCACTGATTTTATGAAGCTCATGATTAAGGCACGTCTAGCGGTTATGCATGCCAGAACGATAATAAGATCCCTCACATCGGCCGGTCGAAAGGAAGAATTGTTCAGCCAATAGAGCGGAGGACTCGAGAGGATGCTGGAATGATCCTTCGATAAGGGAGTGGATGCGGAAAAGTTGTGGATGTGGCCAGAAATTAAAGCCCGCCCATCATATATGGATCAAAGGAAATAAATCTATTTATATAGACCAATTAAGGGGAAATTTAAATTGAATATTTTAGTTCTTTTTTTTACATTAATATAAATTTCTTAATGACTGTCAGGAAATGTTTATTTATTTTTGAAATTTATGACAGCTTGAAAAAATTATCTATTGAATAAACCTTTGAAATTGAAATTAAGTACATTCACTGAAAAAGGTTTTGATGTAGTTGACCCGTTTTTAGTGTTGAGGTAAATAAAAAATATTTTTAAGTATAAAACTGTAGATATCCTAAAAAAATTTTATATAAAATTGTCAAAATAATAATTCTTTGAAAGAATCATTGCGAATAAATTGTAAAATAATCATGCATTTTAAACAAAATGGATTCTAATGCTCTTCAAAATATGTGTTGTAATAAACAAATAATGAATAAATGAAACTGTAACAGTGAAAAAGTAAATAAAAAATTAAGCAACATGCACCATAAAAAAATTTTGAAATGTTTCAATTTTTAGATCTCAACACTAGAAATGGTGGAAAATATTCATTTTTTTAAATACCCATCAAATTACGAAAAAAGGAAAGAAAGAAAAGAAAAGGAAAGAAAAATACTTTTTGGACAATTATTTGTTATTTTTTAAATTTATCCTCATAACAATCATGTATATACTTTATATATTTATAAATAACTTAATAAAATTTTATAAAATGTCTACTTAATCTGAAATTTATGACTATTTAAAGGAAATTCTGTTTACAAAACCTGAAAAAAATGTATTAAGATGTAGAGCAGTAAAATAAAAATACAAATGTTGACCCTCATGTTTCAAACATGAATAGAAAATTTTCAAATTTTATCTATAAACAATTATATAGACTAAAGCTTATTCCAATTTTTAAATATATATATATACTTTAAAATGATAGATATATCGCAAAAATCATTCACAACTTTAAAACGATAGATATATCACAAAATCATTTACAATTTTAAAGCGATAGATATACCACAAAAATAATAGAAGATAATTATATTAAGTTTGAAATATATTTATTTTTGAATACTTCAGATTAAGTAGACATCTGATGATATGTTTAATGATATGTTCATGATATGTTTAATTTTACTTTATGAAACTAAATATATGTACATAAGTTGATATATGTACTCATAAAAAATTATATAAAATAAGAAAATATTCAATTTAAAAATTCAATAATGTTAAACAAAGTTAAAGTATGGCTAGTTTCCTTTAAAAAAATCATTTTAACTTATAACATTTTCATTTATAGAAATTTATACGCATGAGATTTTTTTTTGTAAAGAATTTAATTTTCTTAATATTTCATACACAATCGGTGAGCATGTTTCTGAATTTTTAAACGATTCCCAATCACAAAAAAATTTTTTATGAGAAATGTATTTTTAACGAAATTTTAAAACATGTTTCGAAGAACTTTAAATATTGTATCAAAACGCAAGAAAAAAATTCTAAAGAACTGATTAAAACTTAATATTTTATGAATAAAAAATTCGTATATTTTTAAGGAAACTTTAGAAAAAAAATAACTTTTTCAGTCAAAAAAAAATCTATACTATGAACTCAATCGAAAACATGCTGAAAATATATTCGAGGTGATAAAAATAATTAACGCTGTGTAAAATGCGTATCATTTACATTATGTAATTATAATATGCAATTAAAAATTTTATGCGAATAATATCGCATAACAATACGTATTCATTTAGCTTCAATCTGTAAAAAATATATAGTTCCTTTATCATTAATGACATTATCTGGCAGGAAAATAAACTGAAAACTTTTAAAATTTTATGAAAATAAATTAGAGCAATTACATATTTTGAACATGGATATTTCCTTCCTCTTCATCACTGGTGCGCCCTGGATGAGCTATGGGCGCGTTTGTGCCCAGGGCCCTCCGTTTGGCGACTGACATGGAAATTTTTTGTCTGCAAATTTAAAATGTTTGTAGATGATGTAATCTAATTCGCAGAAGTATTTCATTTGATTCAGTTTCTTAAAAATGATTAAGCTTTATGGCAAGTAGTTATATAGTTTTATATATTAAACGTTACAAAATTTAAAATAGTTTGTTTATTATATCTATATTATTACTTTTATTTTTTAATGAGATAGATAATCATGCTTCGTTGTATTCCAGAATTTCGTAAAAATATTATTTTGTTTTTGATTTACTTATTAAACATTGAAATAATATTTCTTTTTAAGCTGCAGTCAAGAGCAGCATCAAGCGCAGGGCTTTCTGGTTTAAACCATTATTGTGATTAAAACCATGAGTTAAAGCAAATTTTATTTATTTATTTTTTTTAAAAAAAAACCAAGCTTGGCTTTCTTTAAAGGAAAAATCCTTTCAGTAATTTAAAATTCCATTATTTAAATAAATATTTTTATTTTAAATATAAACGAATGAAAAATGGTAACTTTTCCTATAAAAATCTCTTTAATATATCTTGAGTTTAATTGCTAATGTTACTTTAAATGAACATATGTGACATGCAATTCTTAAACTTTCATGCATCATTGCTATTTTGCTATATTATTTTATTTTATTTTATAATCGTCATTGAACAGTGACTACCGATGTTCAACTTTGTAGCCTTGTAATTCTGAACTCAATCCAGAAGATAAGGGAACTCCTGGATCAAGTATTGGGAGAAAAATGCCTTCGTTTAGGACTTTTTGATGAAACTAATCCGCATTTGTGTTACATGGTGAGGATGACCACGAAAATCTCCCACGGTTAGACTAACGGCAAGAAAACTCTAACCAATGATCCGTCTACCCCTGAGAATATTTCACGTCAGCACTGCGGTTGGTGCAAGCCGGATGCGGAATTCGTATCGACCTGATCGACCTGCCATCGCTGGGATTCGAGCCGGGTTCACCTCATTGGAAGGCAAACTCTCCTTCTCCTGAGCCATCGCGACTCTTTTTAATGTTATTTAAAAAATACCCCTATAGAACAAGTGAAGAACTAAAGTTTCTTTGTTGTTTTAATCTTGTTAATTACGATTTTGATTGCAGTTAAAGCAAATACTTTCTGCTTGCTGCAATCAAAAACAGAAATGGAAAAGGAGTGATTTTCTGAATTTCATATATTATTTTTCAGTTTATTTTTAGATCTTTTTTCTGTTATCTGCTTAAACAAAGCATTATTGCATATTATTGATTCTAGTATTTTCAAAATACAACGCTTTTATTAAAGAGCACAATACAAATATAATGAAGCATATTCTAGCTTCACTTAAAATTTAATCAATGTATATTATTTTATTTAATGATTCATTATAAATATATTGTTATGCTTAAATCTATATTGCGTTAAAATGACAATAAAATATTCTACTTATTATTTATCATTAAATCATTCGTAGTACATACCTTTACTTTATTTTATATACGCATATGTATGCAATCAATCAGATTCTTTTTAGTCATTTTCATCATTCCATTTTTTTTCAAATACTTTTGAATTGAAAAATATATTTCCTTAATTTTTTACGCACTCCTTACTATTTGTCTGAATTCAATTGAGAAAAAACAAGAACACTTAATTAATTAAATTTATACAAATGTTTTAAATTGAATACAGCTAATAGCGATACCAAATAATGCTTAAGTTAGGGAATTTTCCTTTATACTGACAAACAAAGGGAACTCATTCTTTTACACATTATTAAGATAACTTTTGAACATAAAATTTTTATTTGCATGTTAAGTTTAAGTGCAATTTAACTTGTATGAGCAGCTTCAGAATCCTCGGGTATTCCTTTTTAATACATTAGAATGTCTATGAAAGAAAAGTAAATATTCTAAATTGTTTATTGATAATATTAATTTATAGTTGAAGAAATTTTCCTGATTAAACCTTATAATAGCTTAAATACTTTTAATTTAAAGTGTAAATCATTATTTTGCCTCTTTGTTTTAAATAAATCAAAATAAAACCGTTTTAAACAAAGAAAATTGGTTTAAACAAAAAAAAATTTATTTGGTTTTTTTCAACTCTGATCTGATAAATAACGTTACTATGCTTCCCCAATATTTTATAAATATAGCTAAATTCTCTATAAAAAATAGAATAAGGTTAGTATAACAAGTACATGAAATTTTTTTCCCTATTATTAATACAAAATGAAATTTTCTAGTATGTTCTCCTTTTTGTCATACTATAAACTGCATACAAAACTAAATTAGCTGATAGGATGCTATTTAATGTATAGTTATTAAGTAAATTTAAAGAGTCAACTAATTAAAGGTAAAATATAAATTTATTAAATTTATTCTAAAAAATAATTAAAAATTGATAGATAGCGCATTAAAATAATAGCATATTTTTAACTGAAATACGAAATTAAAAAATAAATTGACGCAAAACAGGAATGTTTAAGATTCTCTGCTCCTGTTGAAACTTAAAAAAGCATGAACACTACGTTTTTTTCCTTCTTTTTTCTTTTTCTTTTTAGAAAAAAGTACTCTGGGCATTTAAGTTATTATGAACTGGATTCATTGCAAAGTACGTAGAATAGATTTCGTAATAGTTCTGATCTTCCGGATGAAAAATATTTTGTCTTCATTTGTCTTGAAATATAGATTTTTGTCCTGTTATTCCTGATTGTTTTGTGCCTGATTGTCTACAAAACCTTTAATTTTTTTTAAATAAATGCGGATTTTAAAATATTATAAATGATGTAAAAAATCAAATGATTTGAATTTTCGATTCAACATCTTTTCATTTTAATTAAGAATGCTAATAATTAATGCTTTAATTAATAATGCCAACAATTCGATCATTCAAAAGCGGAGACCGTCCACTAATTTTACGTATGGTTCAGCTGCCCTATCCCCACAGAATTCACTGTTTCAATATTTTTTTTCTTTTAACGCTACGT